AGAAAAAGCCATCTCCACAGATTTTCTGCCCACCCTGCAGAATGGTGCCAACACAGGCCAGCCGTCCTAGCCACAGGACAGGACACCCGCCCCTGCTATGCCACGACCTCAGGAGCCGGGAAGGGAGTCTGAGCCGTGGACACCATTTGGACAGCTTTGAATCATGTCCATGCCCCTCCCTTTATCTGCAGAGTCTGAGGTGATTAGCCCCAGGGCTTTCTCCTTCCAATTTCACCCTCCCTGCAGCTAGCAGCATGCTCCCTTCCACTGCTCCTGGGTATTCCTGGCCTATCTCAGCTGTCCTTCCTTGGTCACCCACCCCTTACTCACATAGCCCCACCCTCTATGTGGGGTTGCACTCCACCCAGCGAGAAAGCCCCCTGCCTCCAGCAGGCATCATGGCAGCTCCCAGCCCTGGGACCCCGGCAAGGATGCCCTGGACCACTAGAGTAGTCAAGAGATGTCGCTCACCTGAATTCAGGGGCAGAGAGACAAGTGTACTCTTCCTGACAGAGGTAGGGGGACTCTACAGTAGTGGGGTGTCTGGCATGCTGCCGATCCATTCATCCAACAGACCTGCCCTGTCAGACCACCCCACAACTTCCAGCTGGTGATAAGGATTCAGAGGCTTCCCCAGCCCATCCACGTTCTTTCTCCTGAATCCCTCTGCCTCTCCACCATCTCTCCTTTTGGCCCCTTTCCCCCTAAGCTGAACTCTAGATTCAGAGCCCTGACTGCCAGCCTGCCTGGGGCTCTCTGGACTTGGTTTTGTACTTGTTTTCTCTCATGGACTCTGGCCATCACTTTCCCCAGGATGCTCTCACTGTCCCTCACTAGCTGAGGGTGTCCTGGCTGGTCTTCTCCTCTGGCTGCTGGTCATTCTGGCCAAATCCCTCTTTCTCAAAGTAGAGGGGGAAATGTCTTGTTGATACTGCAGAATCTTAAATCATTTCCAATTTTTATGAGAATGCAAACTGGTATAGCACTTGTGGAATAAAATTTCAGACGCATTTATGAAATGTTAAACAATTCACACCCTCTCCACTCTAACCCAATGTCTGTGTTAGTATGTATATCTTATTAGAAAACATTCATATCTACCCAAGGATTCAGGTCAAAGATGTTGTTTTCATTTTATTAGTCATACGATAAATGGAAAACAACTTGTTTCCACCAGGAAAAAAATTGTGTATGTGATTAATTATGGTATATACAAACTTTAACATTCCAGGGAATACTTTCAAAAGTGAGGTAGGTCTATATGTGCTGTTATGGGAAGATTCTGCATCCATTTTATTAAGTGACAAAAGCTAGTGGCAGATCAATATGCACAGTATTACGGGTTAGGTTGAATAAAAACAATATATTTGTAGAGCACATCTAAGAAAAAGCCATAGTCACCTTTAGAATAACACACACTAGGGGCGCCTGGGTGGCTCAGCTGTTTAAGCGTCCGACTCTTGATTTTGGTTCAAGTCATGATCCCAGGGTCCTGAGACGGAGCTCCGAGTCGGGCTCTGCATGGAGCCTGCTCGAGAGTCTCTCTCACTCTCTCTCTCTCTCTTTGCCCCTCCCTCCACTCACAAACTCTTTCTCTCTCTCAAGGAAAAGAAAATATTTTAAATTAAAAAAATAAATTAACACACACTAGATTGTTAGTCATGGTGACTTCTGAGGAGGAGGCTGAATTGTGGAGGAACTTTGAAAAGGGGATATTGTGACTCATCTGTATTTTTAGAAGGTTTTTTGCAATAGGAAGATATGCACTACTACCTTCTTAAGTAAAATTGCTAGATAAGCCTAACAAAAAAAGCAGCTGCGTGAAAGTAACTGCTAACTGATGCAACAAACTGTGACATTTGAAGGGCTAACACAACAGAAGTGCATCTTTGTGCACACAAATTCTGATACAGTTTAGCAGGGGCCCTCTGCTTTTCCTAGACCCTGGGTCCAGGTTGCTTTCATCTTGTGGCTCCCCTATCTCAACACGGGGTCACCATGTTTGCTGGTGAATCAAGGGAGACAGCATGGAGTGGACGTACTGCCTCGCAAACGCCTGGACGTGAGAAACAATGCTTCTGCTCACATCTCCTTGGCAAAGGGTTATCACACAACCCTCCCTAACTACAAGGGGACTGGCAAGGTGGTGTCCCCTGTATTCTGGAAGGAAAGCAAGACACACTATGGATGAACACTACAGTTTCTCCCATGTATTGTTACACAGTAGGGTCTTAACCAAATGCAACTATTATAATTTGTTATGACTGACTTTATTGCTGGGAGGATTTTCTTTTTTTAAGATTTTTTTTATTTGTCAGTGAGAGAGAGAGAGAGAGAAAGAGATTGCACAAGCAGGGGGAGCAGCGGGCAGAGGGAGAAGCAGGCTCCCCATTGAGCAGGGAGCCTGATGTGGGACTCGAGCCCAGGACCCTGGGATCATGACCTGAGCCAAAGGCAGATGCTTAACTGACTGAGCCACCCAGGCATCCCAGGGAAGGAGTTTTTGAGGTCAGTTTGCCTTGGAATTCTTTGAAACTTTCAAGCACCTCCTGTGTGACAGATACTTTCAAGTACAGGATGACATCTAATTTTCAAACGATTCTGTGATCTCAGCAGGGAGGATTCACTTCTTCATTTAGTGACGAGAGGATTACTACAGAGAGTAAGGTTCTATGTTGGGGGAGAGAAGGTGATTCCTAGCTGTTCCATGGGGACCAGTGCTGAGCACGTTAGCAGGCCAGGTTCAAGAGTGAGGCAGAAGAGCACACAGGGGAATACCAGGGAAAGGCTGCTGTAATTTAGGAAAGTGCCAGGTCTGGAAAAAATGCCAGCTCCCGGGCAGTCAGTTTTCAAAGAACTCTGAGGTTCAGGCAGAAGAACTCTAGGTTAATAAATCCCACAGACTGTACCCAAAACCTGTTTGATTCTCATTGTCACCTTCCTTCTTTAGCAACAGGTTTTTTAGTACCTTAGCCACAACATCTTTCTTTTTGTCACCTGGAAGACACCATGCTGTCCTCAGGAATGATGTAGGACTCGGAAGGCTGAACACAGGCTGCAGTGGGTGGGAACAGCGTGGACTCTACATGAATTCAGACTCGGGTTCTAGTCGCTGCCCTGTCACTCACTAGCCACGTGATCCTGGGAAAATGACTAAGTCCTAGGAGCCTCAGGTTCTTTCTGAAGTGAGTGAGTTAAGTGAGTGAGTTTGATAAGCCCCGTCTTGCAGGACTGCAGGAATGCATGTGATATATGGAAAGCACCTTGCACAGTGCCTGGCACCTATTGGAACTTTGATGAATGGCAGTGATTTCAAGTGTTGTTTTGATCCCAGGGCCTTCCACTCTCTAATCTGGGTTTTTTTTGTTGTTGTTGTTTTTTTTGTTACCGAGGTCATGTTAGAGAATGTGCAGCTCAATAGGACATGGAATAGTAATCAGCCAAAGAGGGTGCTTCATAAGTAAAACTCAATCCATTTTCTAAATCAGAGGATATATGTGAGATATATGGGAATATGTATGGCATTCAGGTGTGAGGGAATTGTCCCAGCTGGACACAATACAAAGCTCCTAGAATGTGAGTCAAAGACCAGCTCCTTCACTCTCTCCCAGCCTCTCTTCCACCAAACCACTCCTTTCACTCATTTCTTCCCGCACCAAAACCTAGACCTTGCTTACTTATACCTGTCCAAATTACACTCCCGATAATCAAACTAAAATGACTTTTTAAGCAGTAGGTTCTGGCTTTGCATGGTCAGGACAAGAGTGCCAATCTAGAGTCTTCTGGGCTCCACTTCAAAGGAATATCACTGTATTTCTTCAGAAATACTTGCAGATGACGGATATAAAACACCTAGTCTGTGCACTGTGTTCAACGGCCTTGGGATGAGAGTGCAGGATACCTTCTTTTCCTGCCCCAGGAGATTACTCCCTGGTTTGTCCATGATCCAGAAGGAACTTCTCAGAGCAATTATCCATTTTAGACTTTGCTCCCACCTCTAAGGTACCCTGTCTACAAGTAGGGCCACTGTCACCCCCCAGGTTCATGGTGATCAGCTGCACAGAAGGAAGCACGGTGACCCGACACCCTGAGCCACCCAAGGCCAGGGGCACTTCCACTGCAGTGCTTGCCCCGGGAGCCGCACTCCCTCACATTTCTTCCACTGCTTCTGCAGGTCTCAGGGCACCTCTCCCCACTTTCCTGCCATGAGTGCAGCTGCTGGACTGTCCCCTAAGGGTGGAACGTGTCCTGCTTCTCCTAATGTCCTCACTGCTCACACACAGGGCCTTCCAGAGAGCAGAGCTCAGCCCATGTCTGGGAATCAAGGAGCCAATAAGCAGGGCTCCCTCTGTGCTGAGATGTCATTTCTCCTCTTTTCTTGAAGAACTAAGTGAATGAAGGCGCACGCATCTATGTTACTTTTGCAGAATGACAGACGAGAAGGTGTAAGAAGCAAAAATGAATAATCTTTTATTTCCGTATTTCCTGACCCCGTCACTTGACTGCTCCATTTTTCCACCTTTCCAACAAATTCCTATGCCAATGCCCGTGATTTCATTCCAGAACCCAAACAAGGAGGGAAGATCTCCCACCTTATTTCCAAACATGACAAAACTCTTAAAATTCTTGAACTGGGTAAGTCCAAATGCTGTGGGGTGGATGTCACGCACAGATTTACCTGCCGAAGCTGGTTAAAACTTCTACTCCAAGGAACAACATTTGAGAGCTTCCTCAAGAAAACCAAGCTTTGGATGTCAGAGTCATCGCAGAGAACAGGCCCCCAGAGAGGCTGGCTCTTCACCCTGCTTTCTTCCCCCAACCCTCCTTGGCCCTGCCTTACTTAGAACTCCCGGGGCTCTCTCTTTTCACACACACACAGGGAAGAACCAAAATGTGGCCTCACTTCATGCCCAGCACCCTGCAGGAGAAGCTGCCGACCCCACCAAAGCCTGGAAAGGGCCTGGCCACCACTGGGACTCAGGCCTCCTCTCCCTCATCTCTCACAGCTCCTTCAGACAGGGCCAGGGAGGAAGCCAGCTGCCCGTGCCTGACCCGGAGCAAATACTCCAGCACTTGAAACTTGCTGGTTCAGCATGGGCCCTGCGACCCCACGGGAACTCGTAACAGGCAGGGTCACTGCCAGGCACCTGCCGGTCCTCCAGGTACCCTTCCTGCACCCAGACTTTGGTGAGGAGCTCCCTGGGCTCCCCATAGATGATGTGCTCCTGGCCGGCATACAACCCCATGACCTCCAGCGTTTCCCACACCTCCTCCTCGGGGGCACGGTTGCCATGCAGGATGCTCACCCCCAGTAGCAGCACCAGGAGGCCGGTCTTGGGCATGCTATGCTCACCGCTCAACATCCCATCACAGGTGAGACCCAGGACATTGACCAGGACGTAGGAGTGGTCACTGCGGTCCACTTCCTTCACGTCCATGCCAAAGACCAGCCGCATGCACTCGGAGGCTTGGCCCAAGATCACTGGGTAGTCGTCCTGGTAATCTTTGCTGACGATCTCCAGCATCTCTGCCTGGTGGGTTGGCTGCTTGTTGCAGTATTTGAGGAGCAGGAACCCCACCAGGGCAGCCACTTTCACGTGGAATTTGTCCTGGAGAGAGGGTTGCGTGACTTCCGGCTCCTCCCAGGTGCTCGACCCCTCCTCATCTAAGCTGCTGGGACCTCCTCTTCCCCAGCCCCCGACGGCTGTGCCTCCACGAGGCCCTGGGCCGGGCCAGGGTCTTCCTCCATTAGCTCCTGACCCCCGGTTTTTTAAAGCAGGCCCCCAGCCTCTGTCAGACCTGGATGCGGACGTCCTGACACACCGCCTGTGGACTTGGCACAAACAGGCCTCCCAGGACGGACAGCAGGGGCAGGCTTCAGTGCGTTGTCCCTGTTCTGGAGTCCAGGTCCCTCCCTGAGCCCCCTCACGGATCTCAGCATGGGCCGCAGCACATCTGGTGATCCTGTCTCTGCTCTCTCCAGGCCCGTTCCCTCGGACCACAGCCCTCACTGCCCTGAGAGCCACGGGCAAAGACTGTGGACGTCGCATCAGGCTACAAAGTCCAGGGATTCCCCGAGATAGGTCCTTCAGGTCCCTTAGCCCTACCCTCTGTTCCCCATTTGGACTCCCTGGATGGCCGGTGCCCTCATCCCTGCTCCTGAGGGCCACTCCTCACAACAAGCGCTCAGTGTCTCTGGGACCCAGAGCAGAAGTCAGGACACGCCTCATGTCACCGTTGTCTCACCCAGAGGCCTCCCAGGACTGATTCTCTACTGGGGACAGGGTCCTTCATTCTTCCCTCTGGTCCTCACCTTGACTCCTGACAGAACCTGGGCCCTCCTGCCCCTATCCCTACACGTGTGTGCGCGTGCTTGCCTTTGGCATTTGCACAACGATGGTCGGGAAGGCATCAAAAGCAAGAACCAGCAAACTTCTATCTCTTCAGCTTCTGACCCCTGTTCCTTGCTTCTTCCATTCTTGCGCCTTTCCAACCCATCCCTAGACCAATGCCCTGTGATTTCGGTCCAGAGCCCAAACAAGTAGGCAAGGTGTCCAGGCTGGTGTCCAGGGCATGAAAAAAAACTTTTTCTTAAAGGTATTTATTTATTTGAGAAAGAGAAAGCACACACAGGGGGAGAGAGAGAAGCAGAGTCTCCACTGAGCGGGGAGCCCAATGTGGGGTGTGATCCCAGGATCCTGAGATCCTGACCTGAGCCGATGGCAGACGCTTAACCAACAGAGGACCCAGGCACCCCAAGAACATGATAAAACTCTTAACTCTTGGAATGGGTAAGAAGAATTGCTGCAGAGTGGATGGTACTCACACAATTAGCCCCTGAAGTGGCTGAAACCTTCTATCGCAAGGAACCCCACAGGAGAGCTTCCTCAAGGACACCAAGCTCTGGATGTGGGAGTCATCCCAGGAAACAACCCCCCCACCCCCAGGAGGCTCCTTGCCCTGCTTTCTTCTCCCAACCCTTCCTGGCCCTGCACTCCTTAAAACGCCCAGTTCTCTGTCTTCACTGGCACCCACAAACACATACACAGGGAAGAACCAGCAAGTGGCCTCACTTCATGCCCAGCACCCCGCAGGAGAAGCTGCCGAACCCAGCAAATCCTGGAAAGGGCCTGGCAGACCCCAGAGCTCAGGCCTCCTCTTCCTCATCTCTCACAGCCCCTTCAGACAGGGCCAGGGAGGAAGCCAGCTACCCCTCCTGACCCGGAGCAAATACTGCAGCATTTGCAACTTGCTGGTTTCGGCGTGGGCCCTGGAACCCCACGGGACCTCGTAGCAGGCAGGTCACTGCCGAGCACCTGCTGGTACTCCACGTACTCTTCCTGCACCCAGACCTTGGTGAAGAGCTCCTTAGGTTCCCATTAGATGATGTGCTCCTGGCCGGCATACACCCCCATGACCCCCAGCGTTTCCCACACCTCCTCCTCAGGGGCACGGTCACCATGCAGGAGGCTCACCCCCAGGAGGCCGGTCTTCGGCACTCCCTGCTCACCGCTCATCATCCCATCATAGGTGAGGCCCAGGATGGGGACCAGGATGTAGGAGTGGTCGCTGGGGTCTACTTCCCTCACATCCATACCAAAGACCAGCTGCAAGCATTCGGAGGCCTGGCCCAAGCTCACAGGGAAGGCATCCAGGGCATCCGGGCTGACGATCTCCAGCATCTCTGCCTGGCTGGTCGGCTACTTGATGTGATACTTGAGGAGCAGGAACTCTACCAGCTCGGCCAGCTTCCCCCTGGATTATGTTTTGGAGCCCCGGCTGGGGTTCTTCAGGCTCCTCACAGGGGCTGGACCCCTCCTCATCGGAGCTGCTGGAGCCCTGGTCAGGCTGGCTGCAGGCAGTGGCTGCTTTGGCAGTGGGGGAGGGGCTGGCACTCAGAGAGCTCTGGGGACAACTCTGGAACCCAGCAGCAGACACCTCCTCCGAGGGGACCAGAAACAGGGCAGAGCAGGAGCCCGATGGGGAGGCGGACTGGGAGGAGGCCAAGGTGGAGAAGGAGGAGGGGGCGCGGGGGACCTTCTCCTCCCCAGCCCCCAACAGCTGTGCCTCCACCTGGCCCTGGGCCGGGCCTGGGTCTTCCTCCAGCTTCTAGAGCTCACTCTTCTGACCCAGGGGCATGGTGTTTGTGTTGGGCTGAACCTGAAGAAAGAGGTGGGATGGCTCCTCAGGGTGCAGCCCAGGCAGCAGAGGCCTGAAGTCCTGGAGCTGACAGTGCGCTGCGTCGGACTTGGGTGCTGAGGGGACCCCTCTGGGGTGGGACGGGCGAGCCCCTGGCTCCATGCTCAGAGCAAGTACCTCACCTTGACCACTGACACTCACCTGCACCTCCCCTGCTCTGGGACATTAGAGGCTCCTGCCTCAGACCTAGGCCTCGACTCTGAATTCTGGAAGCCCCTGGAGGAGAAAAGGAGGAGTCACATCAGGGTGCAGACACAGAGCACGGCCCACGGCCCCCAGTGGGGCAGGAGGGCTGGGGCGGATTCTGTGAGGTACCCATTCGTCCAAGCTGGGTGGTCCCCTCCTTGGCCCCTCAGGGGACTGCTATTTCCCCTGGCAGGGCCTGGGGCCCTGCAGCCTGAGGCCACAGGATCACAGCAAGACTGCGCAGCCCTGAGACTCCACAGAAGGTAAGCGAGGGGGCCCACCTCTGCCCACGCCTGCCAGAGGTCTAAGGGCTCGTCTCAGAATCCCAGGGACGGCCAAGCTCGGATGCCGTCTGTGCTGGGATGGGCGCACCTCTCCGTCTATACCTTGACCCCACGGAAGGCCTGGGAAAACTCCCTGTGTTGACCGGAGGCCACCCTCCTGGTGCCAAGGCCTCATCTCTGGGAGACGCCGGAAGGAAAAGTCAGGAGAAATAACTTGGCCCACCGATCGCCCGTCTCCCTATGGCTGGTAGCAGCGTCAGGGTAGGCTTGGGCCCTATGGATCTTGCTGTGGGAAGCATCCCCTCATTTCTCATCTGCCCCCCACCATCAGGGCCAGACCCAGAGCCAGGGCACCTGCCTCCTCTGCTACCGGAATCCAGACCTTCAGGCCCGGGCCCTCTCCATCCTGAGAGGAAGGATCTGGAGAGGAGGAGGGACTCAGCCTGACAGGCCCCACCCAGCTTTCCCAGGGCCTCCAGGTAGGGGCTGCACAGACTTCTGGTCCATCCCTTCCTGGTCCCGCGGGGTGGATGGAGAGTCACTCACTCCTCCCTCGGGTGTCCCCACACTGATTTCTTGGCAGGAGCAGGGACTCCTGTGTGTCTCCCAGGTGCGCTTCCCCAGATGACCTGATCACGACCTCTCCCAGCATGGTCCTCACCTCCCTGAGAGCTCCAAGAAGAGGGTGAGGAGCCAGCACTTCCTCATCAACTGCCACGTCTCCATGCCCCCCCTCAGTCCCTGGCAAGATCCCAAAGGGCTGGTAGTAGGGACGGGCCCCTCTGTCCTGGGGTGGGGATGCCCTCAGGCCCCCAGAACGCTAATCTTCTTTCTTCCTGCCAGGGCCTGCCCTTCTTCCAGGTCCCCAACGTGAGACAGAAGCCATGTGCCCCTCAGACCAAGACCTCAGCTCTCCGAGGACTCCCGCCTTCTGGCCCATGAGACAAGTGAGCATGCGTGCCAGGTTGGGCCCCCGCTGACCGATCCTCCCTGGATTGGGCCTGGCCAGACTCTGGTGCTCTGGCTTCTTTGCTGAGATGGGGTGGAGGGGGTACGGCCAGTCCTCCCCCAGGGTCCTCACCCTGACTCCCAACCGGACCCGTGCCCCCCCACCCCGCCCCGCACTCCACCCTCACACACACACAGGCCTGCCCCACCCCAGGCCCGCTCCTTCTCACCACAGGCCCTCAGGCTCTAACAGCCAGATGTGAACCCCGAGACAGGAGGCATGGGCTCATCCTCCACAAGGGTCCTCCTCCATGGCCTGTCCGTACTGCGGCCCAGTCAGTCCTCCCTCTGGTCCTCCCCTTCCATCCTTGCAGGACCGGGCTCGGCCTGGGGGGCCCTGAAGCCTGCTCCTTCCACCCAGACCCCAGGCTCTAGGAGACGTGGCTGGGAAGTCAGGGCACGCCCTAGGTGACCATCTGGTCCCGGGGCCTCCAGGGACCGAATCTGTTTGCTGTCCCCAATCCCGCAGTCCTCCTTCCGGTCCTCGCATTTCCACCCAGCAACACGTGAGCCACGGCCCCCCACCCGCATACTCGAGGCAGTGCTCCATCCAAAGGGGCAGGGGTTCTCGGAGGCCCTGAGGCCAATGTGGCCATGCACTGTCTGGGCTCTTCCATTCCAGGAGTCTCCCGTGGCTGAATCAGGGCCGCGGTCCTGCGGGCTCCCTGGGGAGTCCCTTGGGGGTCCTCGCTTCCTTGGCAGGTCCTAGGCCCCTCCATCTGCTGTCCCCAAGCTGACCTGCCATCACCAAGGCCTTCCCTGCCCTGAGCCCACCGGGTTAAGTCTGTGACCAACACGTGCGGCCATGAAGCCCAGGTCTTCCCAAGGCTGAGTAGGGGCGTCCAGGTCTCTCGGGCCTTCTTCTGATCTCCACCAGGACTCCCTGGCTGCCTATGCCTCTGCCTGTCCCTACTGCCTGCGGATCGGCTCCTGGGCACCGGGGCATCCCGTGTCTGGGACACCCGGATGGGCAAGTGGGGGACACACAAGCGCATGCACGAACACAATTGGGGTGGCCCCGTCCTCCACTCAGGCCTCTAGGGACTGACTCTGGGCTGGGGTCCAGGGTCTCTCAGTCCTCTCTCTGCAACTTCAGCGTAAAGCCCAACAAGGACCCCAGGTTCTCGGGAGACCCAGATGCAGAAGTCCGCCGCACTGGCCACGTGTCCCCATCCCGCCCGGGGGGGCTCCCTAGACTGACATCATGGGTGGGCTTCTACGGGTCTCCCCTCTGTCCTCCTGCAGGGTTTATCCCTGGCCTCCCCAAGCCAACCCCCAGCACTGGGTGACCAGGGCCCTCCCCTCTGCCCACCTGAGCATCTGCTCCTTTCATCAGGCCCTCACCTCAGTCTCTCTGAGACCCGGACTCAGAAGTCCAGACTCACCACGTGTTCCAATCAGCCCCCCTCCCCCCAATGGACCTTCCCTGACTGACGCTGTGCTGGGGTCCAGGGTCCCTCAATCCTCCCTCTGCATCCTCACCGTAAAGCACAGCAGGGCCTCAGGCTTCCCCTCTGCCCAACGAGGGAGGCCCTTCTCCTTCTGCCAAGGCATCCAACATCTTTGAGACCCGGATGCGGAAGTCAGGACTCACCACGTGTTCCCATCAACCTCCCCCCGCCACGGACCTTCCCAGACTGAGGCTGGGCGGGGGTCCAGGGTCCCTCAGTCCTCCCTCTGCATCCTCAGCGTGAAGCCCAGCAGGACCAGGGCCCGCCCCTCTGCCCACCCAGGGGAGATCCAGCAATTGCACTTCTGGGTATTTACCACAAAGATAGAAATGTAGGGATCCGAAGGGCTGTGCACCCCAATGTTTATAGCAGCAATGTCCACAATAGCCAAACTGTGGAGAGAGCCAAGATGTCCATCGACAGATGAATGGATAAAGAAGATGTGGTCTATATACACAATGGAATATTATGCAGCCACCAAAAGGAATGCGATCTTGCCTTTTGCAATGATGTGGATGGAACTGGAGGGTGTTATGCTGAGTGAAATAAGTCAATCAGAGAAAGACATGTATCATATGACCTCACTGATATGAGGAATTCTTAATCTCAGGATACTGAGGGTTGTTGGAGTGGGGGTGGTGTGGGAGGGATGGGGTGGCTGGGTGATAGACATTGCATAGGGTTTGTGCTATGGTGAGTGCTGTGAATTGTGCAAGACTGTTGAATCACAGATCTGTACTTCTGAAACAAATAATGCAATATAAATTAAGAAAAAACAAAAAGAAGAAGATAGCAGGAGGGGAAGAATGAAAGGGGGGAGATCGGAGGGGGAGACCAAGCATGAGAGAGGGTCTACTCCGAAAAACAAACTGAGGGTTCTGGAGGGGAAGGGGGTGGGGGGATAGGTAGCCTGGTGATGGCTATTAAAGAGGGCACGTTCTGCGTAGAGCACTGGGTATTATGCACAAACAGTGAATCATGGAACACTGCATTAAAAACTAATGATATAATGCATGGTGATTAACATAACAATAAAAATTTAAAAGAACAAAACAAAAACAGCTCCTGGATTCATTAATTTGTTCTTCTTGGGTTTTGTTTGTTTTTTAGTTTAAATTTCATTTGTTTTTGATTAATCTTTATTTTTTTTCTTTCTACTGGCTTGGTTTTTCTTTTTGTTTTCCTAGTTCCTTTAAGTGTAATGTTATGTTTTTTATTTGATATTTGTCTTCCTCTGTGATGTATTCCTGTATAGTTATAATGTCTCCTCTTAGAATAGTTTTGCTGCATTCCAAAGATTTTGGATCATTGTAGTTTATTTTCATTTTTCTGCATATATTTTTTGATTTCCTTTTTTAGTTCTTGTTTCATCTATTCAATATTTGGTAGAATGTTATTTAGCCTCCATGTATTTGTGCTCTTTCCATCTTTTTTTCTTGCAATTGCTTCCTAGTTTCATACTATTGTGGTGAGAAAAATGCATGATACAATTTCAATCTTTTTGAATTTGAGACTTTTTTGTGGCCTAACATAGGATCCATTTTGGAGAATGCC